TTTTTTTTTTTCGGAAAAAAAAAATCCGTATTTTCCCAAAATTGCTACTCGTTTAATCGTACAAAAGGAAAACTTACCTCCGTCCGATATTATCACGCAAAGATAAAGAAAGAAAGAAAGAAAGGATTAAAAAAATAGATCTGCTAGTATTATACGAGAACAAGGGAGTAAAAATTCTGGAATAAAACGGAAAGAATTAATGGTAAAAAAAAAGAAAAGAAATGTTTAGAGTTACAAAATTATATTCTAAAATAAAGAGAGAGAGAGAGAGATAGAGAGAGAACCGAGATGAATATATAAAGAATAGAAGAGAACTTTGATAATAAAGTGGATGAAAGAGCGGTCATAGATGGGAAAAATGGAAGTAGAAGTAGAAGAAGAAGATGATGATGGAGAATAATAATAATATTAATGGTAGCGGTGTCAATGGCTGAGAATGACGGCAGACAACGAATAAGAATAAGAGAACCTAAAGAGAAGAGAGTTAACGTTTGCGAAAGTACCTCGTTCTCGAGGCACGAAGTACGGCGACGGAGGTAGCTTGAAGGTACTTCGGATCTCACCTGCGTCCTTGCCACCCTTCACGCAGATTCCAAATCCATGATGAGAGTCAGGTGGATCTCTCGTCATGGTGATTGTCCTTACGGTGAGCTCCTGTAGACTCAGTGGTTGAGATCCAGGTGAAGTTGGTGGATTCGAACCTACTATTTGTTGAGATTGTTGTTGTTGTTGCGATTGTTGTTGCGATTGTTGTTGCTGACATTGTTGTTGTTGTTGTTGTTGCTGTTGCTGCTGCTGCTGTTGTGATTGTTGTTGAGATTGTTGCTGTTGATGAGTAGATTGATGGCCCTGTTGAGACGAACTCGTACTCCTCACGTTGGCCACACTGGCTGGACTCGAGGCAGGTGTCCTTCGTTCACCTTGACGTCTCTCAGCCGGTACGCCATTACCGAATAACCTAATTATTTCGTTATATCATTTATAATTGTTAGATACGTTTTAATTGAAATATATTGATATTTGGTTAATCAGTAGTTTATTTATATCCTCCTATCTATTACTCGATGGTTCTTTAACTACGATCAAAATCATTCGAATCGAACGGATATCGAAAGGTAGTTGTTAGATAGAAAAGGGATAATAAAATGTAACAAAATATATATATATATATATAAAAGGAGTTTCGTGTTCTATAAACGTGTGCGACTTCAAAGAAAATGAATTCTCCATTTGCCGAGTCGGTACTTCAAATACATACCTACGCGTGCAAGCTCCCTACTATGAAATTATTTCTTTGTAATTCTTAAAGCGAGGATGACATTGCTCAACCACCTTTATAGGTACCTGCCACGTTAGCTTTCTCGAGTTAAATGGAAAAGAAAGAAAGAAAGAAAGAAAAAGAAAAAAACAAAACTTAGCCAGATAATTATCTTGTTATATTACGAGATTAAAGCGTTGACCTCATTTTTTGATATAATATTAATTAACTGAGAAACGTTTACGAGAAATGATATATCAATAAACATTTCTCCCTAGCAAATCCATTTGCTAAGTGTTTCTAACAATTAAGTAAAATATGGCAAAAGGATTTGTTTGTATTTATCAAATTTTCAATGATCTTCTTAAACGTAACTATACTCAAAATAAAAGTAAAATAAGATTAAAATTTTGAAGATATCAGATTAGAAATAATCGAACCTGAGTACTTGTTCCGGTGAAATAGCACCTGTGCCGGAAGTGGCATGAGTTCGATGCCTGTAAGGTGTCGTATGAGAGGAGTGATGGTGAGGAGCACTGGGAGGTCTCTCGACAATGGTGTAACTGGTGCCAGGCGGGCTGTAATATCCTCTGTGTTGACCGGCATGGTGCCTGCTACTTGGTTCGAGATCCTCAGCTTCGTAACAACCTCCGCTACCGCTTCTCAAGAAGTGAGAATTACTCCGTAAAAAATGAGAACCGCTACCACCACCCCATTGCAACTCCTGCAATTCCGAGCCGTAGTCCTCCGTACTGCTGGCCATTCCTTACACCTCCGAACGGTCAGACCTGGAAACAACAAAAAATACCCCAAAAAATTGTACTATCCATTCCTATTTTTTACATACATATGTGTTCTTTTTTTTTTATTTAACATTTAAACAAAATAACTTGTGTGTATTGAACTATTGTATGAAAATTTGTGTTTTTCTTTTTTTTAAATATCAATCGTATGCACTTTTTCAAGGATAATACCAAAATTATTTTACACGTAATCTTGTTGCTTATGCAATAATAATTTTGTTAATTTAACGAAAGGTTAATTTAAAAAATTTGTTATTTATTATATTATTATATATACTGATTCATGGTAAAATCTTTGGACAGATTTAAAGAAATTATCGACAATAGGAGCAACTCTAAAACGATATAACAGAGATAGCAGTAGAGAGAGGCAAATGGGAAGACGCCTACGCGATTCTCTCTCTCTCTCTCTCAATGTCGGTCATACGACCTAAATTTCAGAGATACCTTCACTATCGATCGAGATTCTCATAAATTAGTCAGGACCTAACATTCCCGAGGGATAAGGCGAAAGCACTTCTATACAAATCATGTGTCATTCTATAACAAAAATGTGTTACCTTTTATAGAAAGGGGGACAAAAATAAATTTATTTTCATCCTTCGAAGAGATATCATTTTTGAAGATCCAATATATAACTGTAAATACAGATTGAAACATAAATACGATATTACATTATATCTTTCTTCGCAAATATGAGAACTTTAATAAAAGGATTGAAAACTAACACTTTCTTACTGTTTTAACAAAAAATAAATATTTTTTACGTTTATTTAAAGAAATAAGTAAAGAAAAAAACATTGGTAATTCTTTTTCAAACGCGTAAGAATACTTGGAAAATAATCATTTTCAAATCATCCATAAATTATGATATAAATATTTCTCTTGTTTTTTTTTTTCTAGACCATTTTCAGTTATCTCTTGATAATTTAAAATTCTAATTTAATCGAAACTATATAATATTAATAAATAAAATGAATTCGATTTATAATCCTATCGTCTCTATAAAATATACAATCAAATTTTGTATTTTATTGAAAGAAAAATTATAAATATACACCGAACTCATATATTGTAACAAGATACATTTCAAAAACACGATAGAAAAATACTAGCGAAGCGATACTATTACAACACAATTGTTCATTCAAACACGATTTAATATACTATGACAATTTAAAAATATAATATAACACAAATATTTGTCTACACTAATTTTACCTGAATTCTATTTCAATATAATCGTAGAACGAAATAACCGATCGTTAAGGAATAATCTAACGATACAGATATATCTAATATAAAACATTATATTTTTCGTATATTATTTGTCAAAAAAAAAAACAAAGAGTATATGCATCGTTTCCGATATTTTGTTATCTCTTTGTTGGGAAAAGTCCTCTCTCTCTCTCTCTCTCTTTCTCTGTCGATAGCTACAAAATACGAAACAGAAAAAAAAAGGAAAAAAAAGAGGAAAAGAGTTCGCAAACGATGGGTTGCATTAAAGCGTGACGAACATCCGAGGAAGCGGAGCTGTGGCCATTTTGTCAAGCCGGTACCCCGCCTGGATCGATAAGCTTTGCTTTTAAAAGATTTATAGAGTCAGCGACGCGACGGGAAACGATTATACGCTCGATCGCATCGTAGGGCTAAGGAGGATAAAGTAAAAATGGAGAAGAAAAACGAAACTAAACGAAACTAAACTAAACTAAACTAAACGGAATGGAATAGAATGGAATGAAACGAAACGGAAACTTGATTCTCTATTTAGACGGACATAACGTATTTACCTATCCAACAGTTTCATGCCTTTAGAAATGTTTCCGTTAAAAGCCGGAAGATCATTTTCCAAGGTATATCTCATTTACGATACTAAACTTGCGAGTTATGCGAATTCACAACAGCAAAACGCTTTCGTTTCACCAACATCGATCCCCAGTTCTCTGCCCTATGCAAACTAAATGCTCGAGCTCTGTGGTTAATTTATGAGCACCACGTTAATCGATCTATCTATCTGTCTCTCTCTTTCTTTTTGTATATAACTACATACATACGTACATATATATATATGTTACCGTCATAGCCGGAAATCTGCCATTGCTAGTAATTCCTCAGCATTCTCATCAATGCAAAGAGCCTTCCGATGAAGTCGGAAACAGAAGAATTTTTACAGTTTTTCCTAACCATTGAACGTAATACTTTGATATTCTATAGCAACCCCTCCCCCCCAAAAACTTTTCAAAGAAATATCAGAGATTGTGCAATGTAGTAAATTGTACATCTTTGCAATTTCTTTGAAAAGTTTTGGTMAATATTTTTTATACTAAAARTGAAWAGATTTTAAWAAAACTTATATTAAATTAAAGTACACTCTTTTGTCTACGCGTAGAATATCATATCAAGTTATAAATTTAGCATGTAAAGTTCTGAAAATGTCAGAGAATGCAATGCTGTAAATTGTGCATCTTTGCTATTTCTTTGAAAAGTTTTGGTCAATATTTTTTATACTAAAAATGAATAGATTTTAATAAAACTTATATTAAATTAAATTACACTCTTTTGATTTCCGGCTATGACGGTAACATATATAAACGTACTCATGCATATATACATATACTTCAGTTAACAATACTGTTCCCTGTATCAGTCAGTACAATTAGATGATTAATTATAACAATAATATTTCGAATAAGATTCGTATTGAAACATCGTTTTCCATTAATATTATTTTCATTTTAAATATACGATTTGGTATTAATAATCGAGAACACTCCTAAACCCCTCCCCCCAAACCCTCCTCAATTTAATGCTAGACGATTACATTTCGCGTACGAGTAGAAATGTTTTTCTTTTTATTCTTTTTATTATTTTTGTTCGCCCATTTTTTCCTTTTTTTTGTTTTTCGTTTCAATAATATCCCAAACGTTGAAAGCATTCATTGAAAAAATATGAATACGTATTTCTGACGAGGTACGTTATTTATGCGTATAATGTATACTATATATCTATACGATATTTGAATCACGATGAGGTATTGTAACGCGTTATACGCGAATGGGAAAAATGCAAATTTATTAAAATTTTCGACTAACTTTACGAATGAAATAAATTTTGCTTTGTTCCAATTCGAAAAAAAAGAAAGGGACATTTTCCGTTGTATTATTTTTAGAATGAAAACATTTTGGGAAAATATTTTCTTCTAATCCGTCAAATTATTAATCGCGAGTTAATATATTTAAAACTCGTATGTGAATGTCTTAAACGAGAATAAATAAATATTATTTTTACGTAAAGACGCGAATATTGAATTCGATAATTAAATAATATATGCACCGTTATGATGAATAATTTTTCTTCAATCTTTCTCGCATTATGATTTCTTCATTCCAAGATGCTATCCATCTTTTACTCCGCGTGCATTTTATGATCTTACCGAGATTCAAAGTTTTATATCTAATAAAAAATCTGAATAAAATGGTTATAGAAAAATGCATTGTCAGACAAATATGGAAGATAAATGAGAAAGATCTCAATCGAGTTATTCTCATTTTTGCTGAATTCGCAGATATAAGTACGTTGTTTCGCGTAATCTTGATAAATAAATTACACCCTTAAGAGTCATAAACGGAACTGAACCTTCCGTATCTTTCTCGAATCCAATCGAATAAATTAGTTTCGTTTAAATCATGCAAAAGCTGGTAAACTTAATTCTTCTTTAACACGATTAATTCGTTCAATAAAATATACGAAAAGTACAAAAAATACATTATTTATTAAAATACAAGATAATAAAAGTTTCAGCATTACTTATTGACTAACCTCGATACAAATGGAATTAAGGGCCAACCTAACACATCTATACATTTGTCCTATTTAATATAAATATCAAACACTAAAAGTTTCAGCATTCTTTATTGACTAACCCCAATAAAAATGGAGTTAAGGGCTAACCTAATATATATAATACACCTGTCCCATTTATTATAAATATAAAATACTACAAGTTTTATCATTATTCATTGACCGACTCAAACATAAATGGAGTTAATGGTCAATTTTTACGTTAAACGTATATACATATATATATATATATATATACACACCAACAACTGTCCCTTGATTTACATGCTGCTTCTTCTATACGAGTATTTTATATAGAAGGTAAAAAATAAAAAAAGGGAAAATTGGGTCGCTTTTGAAATAGCGACACCGAGCAACGATGATAACGAGTCAAATTTATTTCATATTTTTCTACGATATTACAATATTTATTTTTACGAATACCACGTGAAATAAACATTTTGTCAAATCTTTCTAAACCCCCGTGCTTCTCTCTCTCTCTCTATAAAAAAAAATGTTTTTCCTTTCTCCTACGTATAGAATTCATTTACGCTCGATTTTTATTCACGTGAAAAAGAGAAGAAAAAAAAAAGAGAGAAATCCTTACAGTGACCAGTAAATCAATCGTCAAATATGGGTATGTTCGATAAAAAAAAAAAAAAAAGAGAAGAAATAAATCGGAGCCGATATATAAAATAGAAAAAGAAGATTACGGAATAGAGATAGAGGGAGAAATCACTTGTAAGGTAAGAAGAAGGAAGGAAGAAAAATGCAGAAGGGAGGGGTGGTGGTAAGAGAGCAATCAAGCGTGTTTCCCTTTCTTTGGTTCTCGAGGTAGTCTGACCTGACCTTGACACTGACGATGAGAGAGAGAACGAGGAAGGTAGCTTGTTTGCCGGCGGGGGTTGGCCGTGTTGGAAGTTGCCCCTGGACGCTCCTAGGGGTGGTTGCTGGAGGAGAACGTAGGATGAGAAATGTGGGAGTAAAATATACACGAGAGTAGTAGATGATAGTGTCGGTGTGAAGGTGCCTTCGGAGGAAACAGAAACAGAAAGAGAGAGATAGAGATAGATAGATAAAGAGGGAGAGGGAGAGAGAGAGAGAGAGATGTACCGCGTGTTCTCCGTTGTACGAGAGTGGGCCGA